GGCCATAAAGCTCGAGTCCCTGGTAACAGCGCCGATGACCAGGGCAGTTCTGGACACAGACAGAGCTTTTTTGGCAGAAAATTGTTTAACTAAAAATAGTTCTAGGGAGGAAAATAAAAGGTTGAGCAAACTAAGCAATGTCTTTTATTGCCTTTTTTGGTGTTACTGGTAGTAGCATGAATTTCTTCAGTATGGCTAGAGGCAGACAACTTCATTGCATTTAATATCAGATTTGAAATGCATGGGACACAAATAAAAAGTGACACCCACTGAGGTTCTGGGGAGCATGCCTGTGATTGCTGGTCTGCAGCTGCAAAGGATGAAGGCTGCAGTGCTGAGGCACCTGACCCCCAGGCAGGGCCCAGGAGGAAGCACAGCCTTAGGGCACTGAGGCTTTCCCTGCCAGGCAGTGGGAGAGCTGCTTCTCCTGCCTAGAGAGGAGGAACCTCAGAGTCCAGCAAAGGCCTGAGGAGCCACCAAGCCAGCCAACAAGCGACCTTTATCCTCGAGTCTTGCAAAAGTATTCAAGTGCCTTAGCCCCAGAGCAGAGGAAGGCATTGCTTACCGCTTGCAGCTGTGAGGGTCTCCTTGAGATAGGTGTCCAAGATGGGTGTCTCCCACCATGATTTGAGTCATTAGTAGTGCAATCTTCCTCTTTTTTTAACTCCAATTCAGCCTGGCTAATAACAGATACTGGATCCAGGTGCTCCACAGTTGAGGCAAAAGGTTCACCAGCACTTGCTTTCCTGCTGAAGCTCTTGCCTTCTGCCTAAAATGGGCCAGATATAGAATGAAAGGGGAGAAAAAAACTCTGATTTTCTTGCCTCCTGCAGAGGGTATTTATTTTCAGAGGCGTTGTAAGAGTGTTGAGTCCCTATTATAACAAGTGGAAAATCTTTCATGGAGGAGTGGCTTGCCCAGGATATCTATTAGCCTAATGGCACAGCTGCTCTCCTCAGAGGTGCCAGATACCAGTAGAGAAATTCAGAAGCGGATCCTTCCTTTCCTTAAGGGAAGCTCTAATGTTCAAATGCTGGGCGTGATAAAGGGTAGGTGACCATGAAGCCTTGTCCCCCAGTTCTTTTTTCTCCAAGTTAAACTTGTGGCAATGTGGCCTGGCCATCCGGCCAGCACAGGGCTGGGGGCAGCTGCTGCTGAGCAGGGATTTGATTGTGTGCGTGAAGATTCTGAGTAGGAGTTTCAAAATCTTTATAGCACCTAAATATTGTGAGAAAAACCCTCATTCTCTCTGGGAGCAGGTTGTTTGGGAGCAGGGGCCACCTGTTATATATGTATGTGTGGGTGTATCAGCTTGATGGGGTTCTTATCAAGGCTTAGGGATATGGCAGTAATAATACATTTCTCAGGAATCTTTCCTTCAACTTCTGCTCTTCTAAACCAGATAAAGTGAGGGTCACTTGCTGTGCAACAGAGGGATAGGTTTTTCCTACTTACAAAAAAAATCAGATTTTTATTTTAGATTAAATAAAACAAAGCCAAGAAGCAGGGGGGGAGGGCGGAAATCAAGTCTCCAAAAGAAAGGAAAACCTCAGTGATTTATGCTGAGACATGTTGTGTTTTTAACCTAAATACAGCTACTGTTAGAGCAGACAGGGAGAATTTTTACACCAAAAGGTACACACAGAAAACACAGCCAGCAACTCTTTCCACTTACATGATCTCTCACCCTGGTAGACTTTTTGCCTGAAATGAGCAGCTTTGTGCATGAACACGAGGTAGAAGTCCCTCTGCAACCATGCACCAACCACCGCATGCAGTAATTCTTCACATAGCTAACATTTGTCTGCCTGTCTTGTATGATAAGGTGCACATATGCGCTCTCGTTTTCTTCCTATAAATCTCCTTTTCTTTTCAGAAAGTTGTAAACCTAACAATAACAGCACACAGTCTCTTAAAAGCGAGGTTGACACTGAAATCCTTGGCTTAAAAATGTTGCCTGGAGGAGAAAAAATCTCCATCAGCCCAAAGGCAGCAGCTTTGGCTCATGTGCCAATTGTCGCTCTCCCACCACACCATGGGGAGCATGCTGGGGGAAGGAATGATGCAGAAAAGGAGTACAAAGGGCAAGCAGTCCTTCGGCTCTGGCAATCCTTCAGTGGTATACGAGCCTTAAGGGGATCATGTGATGGGAATAGAGTGGAACAACCATCTAGCTCCTCTAAATCACATCACCTTGTAGAATCAGTGAACACAATCTCTTCCCTCCCATATATCACCCTCACACCAGACAGATCTCGAATGCAGAGGAGAATTGAGCACTTCTGCTCCAGAGCATGCGTCTGCGGTTAATAACAGATGATCCTAATCACCGTTCCTGGAGCCCAGGGCTAGCTGATAACTCTCTCTTCTGACTACTGACCCCCATAATCTCCTCATTCCTGAGAAGGAACAGATTGTGAATGATGAGTTTTAGCAATTGGGACAAAAATAGTCCTCCTTTTGCTCAACGAATTCAGATAGCAAACTAAGGGAGCAGCAGAGTGGCTGAGCAGCCAAACTACAGGGCTGGGAAAGATCTGCATTGTGTATCTGGCTCTACCACAGGCTTGCTCTTGGTGTCCTTAGGAAAATTAGTTGAGGTCTCACAGCCTCATTTTCTTCCCCTGGAAAAATCAAGATAATAACAGACAGCTATTCCAGAATGGCATTGTGAGGATACATCATTAATTGATATTTTTAATATGCGCTGAATTTTCCAGAGTAAAACGGGACACAATATTAACAGCTGAGAAACACGCTTTGCTGAAACTGCTTCTTTACTCAGAGAGTGGTTTCACTGCTTCTGCAGCAGCCCTTGAGGCTGCATTACCACTGAAGGGTAGCCTCACTAACTCTCCATTTACACTTTAAAACCTCTACACAGGCAGCAGCAGAGTCACAGATGCAGCTGCAAGAAGAAACCACACACCACAGTTGTGCAGGTGCATGTGGGCCCCAGTGGGAAAGAATATTAACTATTTCCTGGTAATAGGGACACAGAGGTCCTTCACAGAGATAAAATAATCTCAGCACAGTTCCAGGACATAGCCTGTGTGGGAAGCTACTGTCCAAATGAATACAAAACTGTGCTTAACAGATCCTAGTTTAAATGACTACAGATTAAATATTCTGGATTCGCTTGCAAATTCAGCTAAGTTTCTGCATTGTGTGCCCCATATTTTCCATGTGTCAGGGAAAGCTTTTATCCTATGACTTCCATTAGTATTAGTTTAAAGCTTTAGTGTAAAGTTAGTTTAAAGTCTGGAAGGCATAGTTGGTATTTACCCCAGTATTTCAAGATCAGATCAACTTTTTTAACAAGTTAATCATATTATTTGCCTCTCTCCTTGTAGAAAAAGTTGTAGCAGGATCATTCTTTGTGCCCGTAAGGTACCTGGGAATTATAAGAATAATTCAAAATGAATACTTTTTTAGAAGAGTTTTATCTTTTTGGAAGAAAATTGACTGTTTTGTTTCTTCTAATGTATTCTTTAAGTGTAATTATTGTCTGAAATGGAAACTACATTATTATTTGCAAAAGTAACAAGGCATGTTTCCTTTCTCTGAAAAGACTGAAGTGAGAATCAGGCCTCCAGTATGAATGTATATACAAACTACATTTTAAAACCATTTTCTATGAAATTGCTTCCAGTTATCTGGTTTGATAGAATATTAAGATGCAAATCTAAGCAAAGTAGATTTTTTTTTTATACACTTAATAGCTGTGAACCTAGTAGGATTGGCTGAGCTGAAGCTGCTGCAGGAGATAATGATGTTCTGCTGAAACATAGCAACGCTTCAATAAACCCTGATGATGATAATGCATTGAAATAACAACATGTGGCATTGCAATCCACCCACACATCATCATGCATCACACCAAAAATGTCACGATGTGCTGATGGTTAAGTTTCTCTTCTAAAATTACAAAGTTTCCAGCTCTAGCTGCAACGCTCACAACAAACTGTGCTTTTTCATTTCATGTCTTTGGCTGGTTTCATCTGTACCCAGGATCTTTCTTACTTGAGGTAGTGATGGTGGATGCTCCTTAAGCATTTAAAAACGGGATTCAGAAAAATACTTAGCCATCCAAGTTTCCGCTCTTACCAAGCCCCACCTGAACAATAGGAGGCTGTAAAACTAGGCAGAAAATCTAGTAGGAAAGAAGTCTGGCACCAGATTTCCTTGCCTTCTTGCTTTCAAGCAGAGCAGAAAGTAGCCTCTGTCTTTTGATTCTGCTTGAAATATAACTTCTGCAGGTCTTCCAAATGCCTTTGCACTTAGAAATGTTTGAAAGCTTAGATTTGACACAAGTTTCAGCAAAGGTTTAGGGTTGTAGTTAGTTGAAATAATGGCAGAAGTGGAATTTTATCTTTCCTCTGTGTCATGATAACAAAATAGTTATGAAAACATTTTTTTATGTTTGCCTTCTTGTCTGTTTGAAAAATAAGACAACACATTCACAATCACTTATCTTCAAGAGCTTCCACTTTTCCTACCACTGGTGAAGCTAAAGTAAAGCTGAAAAATTTTAGGAAAAATCGCTTGAATGGGTCAGGTTAAATCCAGGGAAGGCCTGCCTGTATTAAGGGTGGGGCCTGGATGGATTTTTTGTTCCCATACCCTAAATTTTAACTTTGGTAACCTCAGCTACTGCTTAACTCAGCAAATACCTACTTTCAATAGGTGCTTCAACTCTTAATGTCAAAAAACCCTATTTAAGGACTCTTAAAGTTCTATATCTCCACATGCTTACTAGCACTTCAGTGTGCGTAGGTCAGAGAAGTGTGATTTCTACTCCACATTGAAGGTCAGTGGAAATTGAGACACAAAACATTTCTCCTCTCTTCCCTTCCATCCCTTTCCCTGCTGGGCTGGATGATGATGCCTGCTGTTTTTATTTTTTCCCTCAAAGCAACAGTGGTGATGCTGATGCTGCTGTGTTTTCACACAAGAGCTTGGAAGTTGTGATAGTCTTCCCAGGATATACATTAGATGCCATAAAATGACAGTCTCAAACACGCCTAAGTGCATTAGGACTTCTTCCATCCTAACCAAGGGGAGTGCTGTCCTGCTGTCATTTCATATTTCCAAGGTACTGGGGAGAAGGACATAATTCCCTTCTGAAGGGCTTGAAATTCACATTTCCCGCCTCCCTAGAAAGTGCTATAATGATCAGGGGAGAGACTGCGGTAGGACATTTCTCCTCTTGTAGGTCTTCCAACAGGGAAGGGAAAGGAAATTGGATTCACTGTGTCAGAGAGAAGAAGAGTGGTTATGGCTATGATGCCTACTGGCTAGGGCACTCGCTAGCCAGAGCCTTGGCTTCCTCACCCTACCTCAGGTTTGCTTCTGCATTTTGCACTAAGCAGCTACTTCATGAAGTACCTAAACATCCCTGAGATCAGCATGCGGAGCCCAGGATGTCCCTTACCACCTGAGTGTAAACTAAACAGTTATGTACTTGCTTTCTGGTCCCATTAATTTCTAATTCTTTCCTAAAGTTGTCTTTACAACAAGAGAGCTTGGGAATACCCCCAAATCTCTTGTCTAGTAGCCAGAGTACTCTAAGCAGCTGTGGCTTTATGGAGGGTGGAGGGGTGGGAAAGGGCAATAGCAGGGCTTCACTGCATTTCACATTTTTGGCCAGTTGCACCTGCTAAGATACCACACATGTGAATTATGTGATGTGACAGTGGCCATGCAACTGTGTACCACATATTTTCCTCTGCACTTAGATCAGAGCTGTGTCTGTCCCTTCCTCCTAGGAGGTGTGGGCCTCCTCAGGGTCTTGGTTTCTGCTCCATGGGGCTGAAAATTCAATATTGCAAAGCCTGGCCCCGCAGTGACCAAGTTTCTCTTTTGGGCCCAGCAAGTATCATGTGGGAGTGAGGCCTAAGTATACTTTGGTACCATTCACTGGTCTTTTAGGCGATACTGCCAGTAATAACTGTAGTGATGGTCATTTCATTATGGTAGTGATATTTTGTTATGGGAACTCCCATCCACTGCCCACTGAACTGAGCCCCCAGGTGTCACATCGCAAAGGCAAGTCAGCAGTTCCTCAGTGGTAAGAGCTTCATATGGCTCTTGTGCAGAGACAGGTTTAAAAACAGGGAAGGGTCTTACAGAGCCCATTACTGGTCAACAGAGCCACTGATTCCTGAAGCATGGGCAGCACACAAAGACAAAAGTAGATGTGATGCAGTGCATGGTCTTCTTAGGGAAAGGATTTCAGGAACTTCCTGCACAGACAGGGGCTGCGTCTCCTCCTTGTACGTACTGCAGGGGAAATGGAATACGAGAAACACCAAGGGTGGGAATTAAGACTGTGTTTTCATTTCCTCTTTCTTGTTTGTTACTTGGTCCTTCTCTAGTAAAAGAAAAAAAAAAAAAGACAACAACAAAAAACCCAGCTGCACCTGGGTTTTTACATAAATGTTCTCGTGCATTTAAACTCGTTCACCTCCTGACAACACTGAACTCCAGAAAATACAGCACACTCTCTCTTTAAGAAAGACTGCTCCCTGCCCAGCTGTTGACTTGCCTGAAGGTGAGACCTCTGCTTAAATTCATGGCTCCAGCTGTCAAAAGCAAAGAAAAGCAGCTTTTCCTTGGCGGCTCTCTGCTTTGGGTAGAATTTGACATCTTCCTCAGTCAGCAGAATTTAATCAGCATCAAGTGCCCACAGCCGCTCAGCTCCACCACCGCTGGGCTGGGGCTGGGGCTGGGGCTGGGGAGCCAGGTCTGCAGAGGAGAACAGGGGGAGTCCACCACACAGCAGGCACAGACAGACACAGGCAAAATCACCCAGTTCTATAGGAAAGCTAAGGCTTGTCACCATCTAGGGAGAGCCTCATTATGCCCTTTGACTTAAGAATTGCTGTTATCACACAGTAACCTTACCCAGCTTTGGCTCTGCTGTGTCCTCCCGACCAGCTGAGAGCAATAAATGGAGTGAGTTATTGACAGCTGACAATGATACTGATTGCCAAAAGAAAGCCAGTGAAATGGGCCCAGGGATATGGTTTCCCAGGCTTGAGCAAACAAGTAAAGCCAAGGAAGTGGACTCCCGAGATTGCCATGCCCTGCTTGCCTTCCTCCTAGGGAAGAGAGTGCCTTCAGTTATTGTCACATAGATGTCAACAAACTAAATGATCCAGCTCATATAGCAAAATTGTTAAGCCAGGCATCTAATATATAAAGCCCAACACTGGATGCATTCATGAAGCTCAGATGGTCAGATTTGACCAGCACATGCAGACGCAGGTACATGCAGACGCAGGTATGTGCAGATTTGCGTATAAACCCGCCAGAGCAGGAGGGCATTTGCTTTTCCCCAGTACTGCCACCTCCTTCCTGCAACCAATCCCCAAAACCCAGCAAAGAGAAATGCCCTGGGGTGAGATCAGGGCAAGGTGGCAGCCGGAGGGTGTGTGTGTGTGTGTGTGTGTGTGTGTGATGGAGTGGCAGTTCTCATTCCAGGTTTCAGCCCCAGGGGGATGGGGCTGGAGGCTGTGCTGTGCCATGGCTGGGGAGCCAGCCTGGCTGCCCTGAGACTCGTTTCGGGGGGCTCGGTCAGTGCAAGCCAGCTGCTCTTACAGCAGGAGTGTGCACGGGGTGTTTTCTCAAGGAGTCTTTGTATTAGTGCTTACCCATTTTAAAAAAAACCTATTCACAGTCAATATTCTCTGCCTATGTGTTTTCAACACACAAACTCCAGACGTTCCTATACATGCAGTTCATTTCTAGCACCTGCAGCTGTTACCCATTTCCTGACAATATCATCGTGCCCATTGAGGAGAGGAAGGACATGTTGGGTTGTTGGGTTTTTTTAATGTTTACCTCTTCCACCTGTTTGATATTAGCCTGCATAATGGCACAGAGTTAAAGCAAAGGCGGCGGCAGCTGGAAGCAAACAGGAAATGAAGCAATACCCAGAGTAAAGGAGGCAAGGGGTAATGGTGTTGTGAAGAAATTGGGGGGGGGGAGGGTTTTAGCTGGTGAGTATCCACTTGTCTCTAACCAGGGGTGTGATTTAGTTCTGCCCAAACCTCAAGCTAAGTATTAGGGGGATGGTAAAGCACCGAGTGTCCCTAGCTAGAAAAGAAGAGGGGTGAGAAAGCAGGAGATGCTGTGAATGGTGGTGAGAGTGCAGGTAAAGGCTTGCCGCTCAGGGAGTGGGGGGGAGCTCGCAGGTGCATTGCAGCCCAGGAGCTTGACAGTGATCAATGTGGGGCTCAGGCTGTGAACTGTGTACTCGTGCAGCCTGTAGCCATGAATGTGGTGGGTTTTTTCCTCCTGTTCCTTTGTATTTGGGGAATGAACTTCATAAAACCTGCATTCATCGTTTCTGCTCAGCCACATGACAAACTTCTACTGAACTGTGTCCTGGAGGGGTGATGCAGCCACAATAACAAGATCCCTCCTGCTCCAGTCATTAAAAACACTGCATTTCTCATTTCACAGCGTGGGGGGAGGGGACCGAGGGCAGACAAGGAAGCAAATCCCTCTGAGGATACTGTTACAATACCAAAGAGACCATTAACCCAGTGCATTTACCTATAGAACTTGCCAACAAATGTCCTACCAAAAGACATACTTTTAACCTTATCCTAGTTTCTCTCATCTTTCTCAACATTTTATCTTCAAAAATGCTGATAACCAAAGTTACAATGTTGCTTCCCTTCTTAAACCTATTTCAAATGCTGCCGTGCTAAAAGGCATGATGCTGATCTTGTGTAGTGTCTGGAGTCTCTTCTTCTCAAGTGATATCCCCTTTATGTGAACAGCTAACTGAAGACATCTGTTGGATATAATTATCGGAACACTGCACATTTGTTTTATACATATTATTTTCTATATTACTTGGGGATAATATATCTAATTATGTTTTTCTGACAGTGATATTACTTGTGAAAGTGGTTTTCTACTGTCAACCAAGTTCAGTGCACGGTCAGATGTTTGTCAAACTTCTAGTAAAATTTTGTTAGCGATTAATGATGTAGATGTGCATGTTTAATTACTTTAATAACTCTTCACTGCCTCCTGTAACTAGAAGAGGTGAAATGCACACCCATGCACAGATCCTTAGCTTTCCTTATAATGCAGTTTCATGGCAGGAGGTGAACTCTTAGAAGTTTTATGTCTGCACTGTAGGATTACCTGCTGTACGGCACTCTGTTTGTGGAAATGGGCCAACTAATAATGTTGGATTAAAGAATGGATGGAAATGACTGAAACTTATTTTCATTTGGAGTCAAAAATATTTTGCTAGAAGTTCTAAAATTTTCATTAAATTTTGTAACAGCAACTCGCACTGACTATTTTATAAAGTACTAGGGAAAACACTTTCAGCAAATGTCTGCAGAAAGCTTTTTTTTTTTTTTTTTACCAACTCCATTTTATCTGTTTTCTAAAAAAAGGCCCTATAGACTCTGACACAGCCAAGTTGCTGTGGCTTGCTAAAATACTAGTGTTAGCTGAACCCTGGTAATTGTACAAACACATGCTTTTATCTGGGGAAAACACAAGATAAATGACATTAACTTTTCTCTTGGGTATAAACTAACACGTTTCACCTCTTGGGAGGAGATGTGATTGCAGGTCAGGCAGTGCAGCTTGGTTGATGGGCAGTAACTTGCTAACTGAGGTTAGCTTGAAGATGCATCTCAGCTTGGTGTGAAGCCCTGGTCCTTCCAAACAAGGACAACAAGGATTCTTCACTCATGCCTGACCTGGTGAGCACAGAGCGAAAGCGTATTATTAGTGTTATTTAATTTGCATTACTGTGATACTTAGGAGCTCCGGTTTGGATTAGGGCTCTGTTGTGCTAGGCACTGTATAAACACACATGAAAGCATGACTCTGTCCTCAAGAGCTGCTTGCCTTATACAAACACACATGGGAGTTGGGTATGGTTTCACACTGAGGTTGGGCTTTGTCTTCCTTAGTGCCTTGTGCTGTGCCAAGCATGTTGTCAGCTCTTGCAAGTCCTCTGTATCTAACAGCCCACACCTCACCCTGCTCATTGCTGAGCGGGTAATTTGGCAAGTTCTCATGTTTGCGTAGCATGCAGTAGGTTACCCAGAAG